GGTATTCAATTACAATAACGTTACAATTCAATTACAATAACGTATTCAAGTACAATAACGTACCAAAATGTCGCCAAATGGTTGCAAAGTTTGGCAGCAAAATTATTTGATAAAACCATCGCCAACTTGGCGATGTCTTGTCATATTAACGAGATAGCGGTTTATTTCGGTGTTAAGTAGACTTGCTCCTATACTCTCATTTTTCCAACAAAGGACCAGGGATTCCCAACCTTTTTGTCCCTACCCCCCTGCGTTCAGACGTGTATGTAAAGGGCATAGAGGCATAGTCATAAGAACATAATTCTTGGATCATTTCTATACTTCTGGCTTCAGCTACTAAGAGATCTTACCAGTAAATAATCTATAACCCATAGGCCATTAAGGTTGTAAAATTAAAAGGTGTGTTGAAAAACACACCGCGCCCAAGGGCGAGATCAATAAATGAGATACGGGAGTTCCGTTCAAATATGCGATAATGGCGTGTAAGCCGTGGCCAATGAGAGAAGCTAAATTTGCGCATGCATGGATGCGTCTACAACTTTCCCGCGCTGTTCTCCTGTTCGATTGATTTCCTGCTTTCGCTCTGCTCTGCTTGTTTTGTGACAGCGAAATCTTCTGTAGAACGCCGCTTCGTTTCAGCTTCGCTCTGATTGGTCGACTCTTATACCAAACTCGGCGGGAAGTTGAAAACTTTGAACCCTATGCCATGAGCCTAACCCAGATTTTGTGACGTAGCACAGACTGGTTGCCTTGGCAACAGAGCTAAGTTTTACGCACCCGTCTGAACGCAGCTTAAGACGACGGTATAAAGGGCATAAGTGGTTTAAGCCGAGCTGCCGTTGCCAGGAAACCAGTCTGTGCTACGTCACAAAATCTGGTTTAGGGCTCTGGGCATAAAGCTCGAAGTTTTCAACTTTATGCCGACTTGGGATAAGCGTCGACAAATCAGAGCGAACGCTCGAAACCTTAGAACTGTTGTCACATCCACGCATGCGTAAATTTAGCTTCTCTAGTTGGGTGCGGCGTAAAACCTATGTCGCAGTTGTGAACAGAACTTAAGTGTACATTCTAGAACATCTGTTGGACGGCGGGCACCGTTTACTTTTTGCACAGTATGGTGGCATTGAAGATATTTAGGCAGTGAACCTCAATGGACTTCTTAAGTGTTAAATATACAACTAAAGGTAGTGTTGTAAAGATAAAATGCGTATCAGTGTTCAGCAATTAGTATTTAACCGTGTTAGTTTACCCTTTACCATGCTTCGCATTTTTATATTAATTCTATGAAACTATTGAACTATTATTTTCTAAAATTTAACGTTAAATTTTAGTAGAATTCTTAGTAGTTTTCTTTGTGTTACTTTATGCTGTATGTTATGTGTGTTACTTATGTAGTTTTCTTTGTGTTACTTACGTTCCTATTAATATTTTGAAAATACCTTAAGAGCTATTCAGCTTATTGTAGCGTGAAAAGGTGACTCCTCCAGAAGTAAATTTATTTTCTCTCTAGGTAGTGTTACCTCCATAAAAATGAGTTATACATGCTGTTTGTCACTTTTTTTAAAAATATCTTACAACTAAATATTCCTGTAGTCATGGTCTTCAGAAAATATAGCATGATGGTAATTCCTAAATGTATCCAACAAACGGTAAAACTCAAAGAAGTTGCGCAGCGGGAATTGGCGCGAAAGATCGTCGAGCAGTACATCAATTTAAAGTACTTTCTCCAGAATGCCAAAAGACAAGCTAAAGAAAGAGGTTCTTGTTCAAACTTCGCATCGTCATGCCAAGTTGAGCAATAAATATAATTTGGAATCTCACGCCCTAAGTCTTCATAATTTTAGTCAGAAAAGAGAAACTATACAAGGAAAAGAAACATACGTCTCGTGCCGGTGTTAAGTCATTCCATCTATCAGTGAACCATTTTTTTTTCCTTGTTCGTTGCTTAATGAGCGTGGATTCGTGAAGCTGAAGATGGAAGGCATACGGGGGAGGAAAACTAGCTTTGAAAATCATAGCCTTAAATCTTGTCGACACCATTCTTGCCTGCCTTGTTTTGAGAATAGAAATAAATAATCTGAAAAATCCTTCAAACATTTATCACGGTAATGTTTGAAGATCCGTCAGAAGAAAATCGAGACATAAGCTTTTCGCCAAACTGCAGCAGTTTGAAATTGTGTCCCTAACTAAAAATTAATGGCTACAATCTGTAATCTAGACGGTGCTTATATTTTAAAAATAGGTATAGTGACATTATTTTTAATGAGATGAAATGCTTACCAACTTTACGACTGTCTTTTAATACAGCTTCTTCTAATCAACTGATGCAGCAGTTCCGTGTATCCTCGGATAATAAAGGACACTAAACCTATATAAAAAGGATTTTCTTATCAGCAACATAATTATGGTTAAGTTTAAATGATACAAAAGTAAGACTTTATCAATCTCTACATATAATAAAAGAAAGAGTCTGTGTGTCTTTCGTTCGTGCTGCGCGTAAGCTAATAGACCCAGGGTTAGGAAATTTGGTACATAGGATTAGACAAGAAGCCCCTCGAAGCAATTTTTCAAATCAATCAGATTTTTAATTTATTTTTTTGTGCATCATTTGAATAGTTCATTTTTAAAAGGTGGTTTGCAACAGTTTTCATTCAATGCTTTGTATGCTAGACTACTGACGGTTGAAAAAAAAAAAAACAAAAAAAAAAAAAAAAAAAAAAAAAAAAAAAAAAAAAAAATACGAGATAAGATATTATTAATTATACTTTCCTCTGCAGAGTTTTTTGTGCTTTTTTCATGTTATTGATTGCTTATTTTCACTGCTTTTAAGATATTGAAAAGTTTTGCATGTTTTTTTTTAGGAAACAAAGTTCCTTACTTCCTTTATACCATTTGAATTATTAAGATTTTTTACCAGCAAGTTGGTTAATTTATGTATTAGGATGATTAATATTTGTATTAAGGGATATTGTTTCATTAATTTTTATTTATGATTTAATTATATAAAAATGTGCATATTTTTAGGCAACAAATTCTTAATTCTTTTACCCATTGATTGAGCTTTGCACGAGAGCTGGTTAATTTATGTATTGGATATAATATTGTTTAAGGGATATGTTATTTCATATATTTTTTTATTATGTTTTAATTATATAAAAGTTTTGCAGATTTTTGGGAAACAAATTCTAATTCTTTTACACATTTGATTCTAGATTTGAACGAGAAGCTGGTTATTATTTTTAGGCTAATTAATATTTGTTAAGGGATATGCTTATTCATTGTAATTTTTTTATATTATGTTTTAATTATATAAAAAGGTTTGCATGATTTTTTAGGAAACAAATTTCTTAATTTAAAGCATTAATAAAGCCTTTATAATTATTATTAATAATAATTTAAAGCATTAATAAAACTTTTGTGTACATTACATTATGTAACTGTGTTATTAAACACAGTAATGTGAAATTAAGTATAGCTCTCAAGAGAGAATATTCTTCTGTCTCATATCTCTGATAACATGGAGGCATTTTTATTGAACACATCAAAAATAAGTTAAAAATAAACAAACACAGTACTGTACAGCGTAATGAACTGTTTCAGAGGGTGACAGAAGTAAGATAATACCTCTTCGTAGCACTAATAGTTTTCAAGCAGTAATGCAGCATTAGTCTTACGTTTTAGGTAACACAAGTTTCCGAAAATAATTTAAAAGGAAGATGTGTGGACATAGAAAAAGGAAAATGAAATAGCTCTTGACCAATGACAACGAAGATTCTATTACAGCATATGACCATTAAATTCGGGTCTGAGAATAAATACTAGCAACATTCGGCTATAATAATTTCAATTTTCCATGTTTAGTTGCAACAATCCCCCAAACGATCGTGTAGATCCGGGATTCCCAAAGTGGGCGATAATCGACCCACGGTTTCCTAGGGGTCGACATAAACGAAAACTGATTTTGTGGGTCGACGTCGACGAGGTCTAAAAATCGACCCCTATTAAATTAACACAAGTTCTTATTTAAAACTTTCAAGATAAGTAGGTACTGTATTGTTTATGTTGTGTTACGTGTACTAAGAATAATTAATATTTTTGTAGGAAACAGCATTGTTGTAGTAATGTAAAGTCTCAAGTTTATACAAGATGAAGAACTCGGCAAGTCTGTGTGGACAAGTTTGTGCAAGATAATGAGTTCGTTCGTTACAAAGTTATTACATACAAAGTTACATACAAAGTTATTGCATAGCTAATTAAGTGACTGATAACTGAGAGTTTTATGATGGGGGACACGAAAAAAAAATGCAGACAATACAGTTTGGACTACTTGAAGTTCGGATTTATTGCATCTCCATCAAATCAACACTTGCCAATGTGTCTCGTATGTGAAAAAGTATTCAGTAACGATGCCATGAAGCCTTCAAAAATGGATGACCACTTATCAAGAGTACATGCTGACAAAAAACGTAAGCCCTTATCATTTTTTCAAGCACTTAAAGAAAAACTAGACAAAAGGCCATCCATAAGATCGATGTTTGCGTCATCATCTATTAAAGACGATGATAGTTTACGAGCGTTCTATAATATATCTTTACTAATAGCGAAGTTGGGAAAACCCCACACAATTGGAGAGCGGCTTATCTTACCAGCCATTGCGGAGGTCCTTAACAACGTATTGCACAAACCCGCACATGATATTTTAAAGAGAATACCTTTGAGCAATAATACCGTTGATGAAAACAAAATCAATAATATCGGCCTTCGTGGGTAAACTAATACTTTATAAACAAAATTTAGACAGAAAAGAATATTCGCAGTTTCCGCATTTGTGAAAATTACCAGAAATTCTTCAATATGATGACATTTTATTATATATCACTCACTTGGACGCATTACACAAGGATTTTACGGAGAGGTTTGAGGATCTTTTAAATTTACAAATTCCTCAATGGATAATAAATCCGTACAATACCACAGCCATAGAAGAAGCCAATGTGATAATGCAAGAAGAGTTGATTACCATCAGCACAGACGAAGAGCTTAAGCAGAAGTTCAACCAAGGCTATCAGAAGTTCTGGTTGCAACGCAACATTGAAACACAGTATCCTACATTGTGGAACATTGCTGAAAAATACCTTATCGCTTTTCCATCATCATACCTAGTTGAAAAAAGCTTCAGTGTGGTAACAAACATTTTGACGAAACAAAGAAACCGTTTGAAAATCAACCAAAGTGGAGATTTAAGGCTGCAACTCACCAATATTGAACCGGATGTAGCTAGATTGGTAGATAGTCACCAGGTTCATCCATCACACTGAATGTTTTATTTTCTCTTTGCGAATTAATACTTTTTTAAATATAATTTCCTACCTACTTAAGATTCTTTAAGTACTTAATTTGTAATAATCATTATAAATTAAACTTGATATTTACTGAATTGTATGTCTTTTTATTTTGTTAAATTTTGATGAGAAAATGAAGTCAACTTTACTCACTTAACCAAGTGCAAAGTTTTCCAATTGGTACCTTAGTACCTAGGTATTTTGTATCAATAGGAAAAAACTAAAGATAGGCCCCCTTATTCATAATAGTCTGCTAACTTAAAGCATTGCTAATTCTCACTCTGTCTTCTTCTATTGACCTAAGTCAGAATGAAAAATAACACTCTGTAGCAGCCGTTTTAAGTTAGCGGACCATTATGAATAAGGGGGTTGATCTTAAAAGTAGGTAATTTGGCCATGGGGGTCTGAGGTAACAGTTCATTTTGGAAAAGGGGTCACTTGTCCAAAATAGTTTGGGGATCCCTGGTGTAGATGCTTAAGAAACGTGCAGATGTATTTGATTTAGTGGAATATAGTATAACCAGTGGTCAGTGATAACTTTTTGCTGGTCCGCAGAAAAACTTCGAGATTATTTATGCTTTTATAAAGATTCAGTTTAAAAAATGACGAGTAACAAAACTATTATAGAATATGGATTATACTTTTTTTCCCTTTAATTTTAGCTACTACTTTTAGCGATATTCCTTCTGAATTAAGCAACTTTTTAGCGGTTTTAGCAGTGTTCTAGCGACATTTGAAAAGTGAGAGTTTGCATTCATGGATATGCTGCTGTTATCAATAATAGCGCGAACTGGAATTCTCTTTCCTTTTGAATTACAAACATACGCTATTGTAGTCGTTAATAACACAATTTTTCTCCGTGTCAGTAGACAACTTCATGGATTTTTATGAGAACCATCTGCATTCTTATTTATAATTCCAACCCTGGAAGTTTCCGTTTTTGTTTTGTCTAACTGTTGATCGATGGCGCTATTGCGGAGTGAGCGATAATTATTATGTTTACAATAATTAAAAATTTTTGGCGGCAAAACACTATCAGTTTATTGATATTGCTTTGCATTTGCCGATTTGTTCTTGCTTTTCGTGAAGTTCCTTTTCAGTGATATGGAAATGTGAAGCTTTCTGTACAAGAAGGGAAGATTTTTGTACTCTTCATGTAATTTTCCAATGTGAATGAAATATGTGTAATTTGCTAATTATTGTTGTATAAATGTAATAATGATTTATACAATAATAATCAGCAAACAATTATGCTATACAATAATTAGCACACAATTAATTTATACAATAATGATTAGCAAAATTAGCGGACCACTAATATGAATTAAAAATGTTTTTTTTTTTTTTTAAATTCATATTAGTGGTCCGCCAAATGTAAAATTATATGTGTAGTGGTCTGTGAAGTTCTAAGGGTTGACAACCACTGGTATAAGATATTTTCTCCCTTCTTTCAGCATGCCTTCATGGTGTAACGGTAGCACAATCGGCGCGTATTCGAGAATTTCAGGTTCGAGTTCATGCAAACGGCACTTCACATATATAAAGGGGGAGTATATAAGGTGGTTTTTCCCTCTTCCCAGCATACCTTCGTGTTACTGGAAACATACTCTAGGCCATTCGAGAGGTCCAAAGTTCGAGTCCCGGGGAGGGCACTGGACATTTTTCACGTTCCTGCATTGATACAACCTAATAACTCTGCAGTGTTACGTAATTAACTTACAGTTACACCGTATTCTGTTCTTTGCACTGCATAATTCTTCCGCTGCATTTATATGTGTTGCGCTTCGCTTGCTTTTCAAAACGCTGAATTTACGAAGCTTTTTTTTCGGGGGGGGGGGGGTGGGGGGGGTAAATTTGCTATTCAGAACTGCAAATACAAGAGCACGGCTGTATTATAAATCGTTACATCACAGCTATGCTATTATTATAAATTCTTTTCAATTTTCCATCATGAAACTTTGTACCTCAAAACGACGTCTAGCCATTCTGAAGCCTTTTTTTTTTTTTTTTGACATGTAAATAAAGTATACGCATGCTTCTTTTTAACCCAAATAGGGGCTATAATTCTCGAAACAGGAACTAGTTTTGGTTCGCTATAAGTGTAAACCGCGTATTACTTCTCAAATTGTTGCTCCTAATTATGGTTTGCTGTCTTATCGCCCTAAATTATTTTCAAAGAAATTAAATAATCAACCATCTGTACGCATGTATGTATGCTCCTTACATTGCGAGAAAACAACAGTATCTAGAGCTATCAAATTTTGAATAACGTAGTCATCCACCCGAACATATGCGTCTGGAACCTCAAATTTTGAATTTGTTTTGATATTTATTTCATATTTTGTAAAATTTTAATGAATTTTTGATTAACAACCTCAACGATTTTAAAGCGAGCAGTGGCAACACTGTTCGAAATAAACATTTTAATTGGTTAATTTTTCACAATGAGAGAAACATATACATTCATGCATGTTCTTCATTATTTTATTTCTTTAAATATGATACAGGGAGATAATATTTGTTGGTAACAGTTTTAAAAGTGATTCAATGTTTTTAGTAATTCGACTCAAAATGCCGTTTCGAGACTAACGCTTCTTTGGGCTAAAAAGAGAAGAAAAAATAAGGAAACTGTTTTTTGATTCTAAGAGAAAACCCACTGAATTTTAGTTTTTTAGTTAGACAATTAATTGATTTTTCCGATATTCCATCTCTTTCTTAATAAAATATTCCGTTGAATAATTTGCTCTCAAGTAATTATTTTTTCTTTTAATATTTTCTTTCGGAATTTAAACTTTCTTCTATGTGTTTACAGTCTAAAATAATTTTAGAAAGGTGACCTGTTTTAAATTCTTCTGGCGATTTAATTTCACCATCCATGTTCCAAGTACGAAATGCAGCTAGAATAGAAATTCTTTCACAAACCAGTCTTTCTGTGAACTTCAGGAGTTTCCTAAAGCGTATATCTGAAACCATATTTATTTTGTTATTGAATATATTTCTGATCTCATGAAAACATTTTCGGGACCGTGTGGAGCACCAGCATACACACACACACACACAAAAAAAAAAAAAAATATCCGGGATGGTCAGTCACTATATCATAAAATCTGGGAATATTTACAGAATGCAGAACATTTTCTGGAATCTTTCCCAAAGCAGAATACTGCATTAAAATGCCGTACGTTTGGTCAACTTAAAGAACCTTGCAATCGCAACAAAATTTTTGAGGACTAACCTAATTATTTCGAATTAAAAAGTGCAATAAAGACTTTATTAAATTATTTTTAGATCTTTTAAACATTGTAGTATTCTTTATTTCTAAATCCTCACCGGTTTTTATCCGTGATTAAAATTATTGTAATAATATTATTATTGTAAGGCTTGGAATAAAAATAGGCTGTTGCCACTCGGAAAAATGAAGGCGAAAATTAGCGTTTTCAGATTTTTTAATTCTTATCTCGGCTAATTAAAGTCGTACAAAGATGAAAATGGTCGAAATGGATTCCCACGAATTTTTGAAATCCGGGAGTACCTTTATCGAAATTCAACTCCCCAACGTTCCGGAAAATATGATGCCACGAACAAACAAACAGGCGCGCATAATTTTAATTGTATATATAATTTATTATGTTACCTAAAATTAATAGTAATGGATTATATTTGGTTTTAACACTTTATTATTATTCACATATTCCCCTATTTGCAACGAGATTTAGAAATTATTTATATTATTAGAAGCGATATCCAAATTTACAATAGCTTCTTTGATTGTTCTTTAATTATAGCGATGCTTTAGTCCTTTAAATTCTGTCATTTATTCTTATACTTGCAGTTAAAACAGTGAGTCTGTTTTCCCGCATTTAGAAATGATATGCAAATTTGAAATGTTTGCAAATAAGTTTTTGCATGGCGGTAATAGAAGTTTTTTTTTTTTTCCTTTCATTTAACAGCGCTTATTATGCATGGACTTTTTAAAAAGTAAGATCCGCATTGATGCAGAAAATGGAATAAGAAAACTAATATGAATTTGCGATTCTTTTTAAAGATAATTATTTCCAATTAAAATGAAACTGTATAAAATGTCAAGAACGTATTTCCTTTCGTTCTTTAGGCAATTTAAATTACTTTTTTATTATCATTTATTTACAACAAGCTGCATTCGAATAAGCTTTTAAATTTTGATTCTTGTTTATTTAAAGAAAATTACATTTGAATAAGGTTTTCAACATGGGAGTAACAAAATAATGAACCATCCTGAAATCTATTTAATGATCAGCCGATATTTATAAACAACCACAAAGATGTTCACCGGCAAATCGAGATCTACATTTCGAGTTTATGACACTCAACGTTTAGAAGAATAATTTGAGTAAGTGAATGTAAGAAACAAACTTCATACTTTGCAATGGGAAGATATTGAACATTGGAATTAAGAAATGCAATGGTCTTAAAGCGAAAGAATTGTTATTTTTTTCCTCTTTAAAAAATAAACTGTACAAATGTGATTTATGCTCACGTGAATGAAAGGAATATACGTATCTTTATCACTTATATTGAATATGACGTTTAAAAATTGCAAATTTTCTTAACTCAGAAAATAAACTCATTTAGAATTAATACATAATTAAATCTCTTATTTTCCAACACATACGTTGGACAAAACTGTATAAGGTATTTTATTTATTTTACGTTTGGCAAAAGTGTATTAAGGTTCTCCTTTCTGCACGCCTTCGAGGTGTAACAGTTAGCACACTCGGCGCGTAATCGAGAGGTCCAGGTTCGAGTCCCGGCGAAGGTATTGCTCATTTTTCGTGTTTCTTACTTCAAAGAAACCTAATGATCTACAGTGGCGCCCGAACTAAAAGGCAGCTGACGATAAGTTTTTCACCACCAGAATCTGGTGGCTGGGTCTCCTCATGCTCAGTCACTGTTTAAGAGGGGGGAGTATATAAGGTATTTTCTCTCTCCATTTCGCG